AGATCTCTTTGCTTCAGGTTTTAACCTCTTTGGGGAACCCTACAAGGTAAATTTCATTGTTACGCTTTACATTTTCAGAATGTCTTTTACCTGAATGCATTTTACAAACACAGTTCCTCATCACCTGTAAGAAATGAAAGTATTGTGTCTGCCTTGGTGCTTATACTCGTGAATACACTGAATATCCAAATCAGCATATGGCAGCGGAGCACACTGACTGCTCTGCCCAACATTGCATACTAGCATTGGCAGAATCAGGAATTTAGGTTACAGTCTAGTTCAAGATTTCTTCCTCTAAACACGCAGCAAAGTCCTGCAATAGAAGTACATGCAGCTGATATTTCTACAAGTGGGTTTGTACATAAAAAGCTAGCACTTAGTCCTTTTATTTTTAAGAAGAAAGTATACCTGAGTTGTTAAAACCAATGTCCTCTCTATAGATAATGAGTCCATAAGCTTTCTTGTGCAATCATAACCATCCAAAGAAGTCTTTTGGGAGACTCTGAATCTTTGGGGAGCATAACAAGGGTATGAAAGGGAATTATGACAAGTCTTATTCTCTCTAAGGAGCTTTGCTGCCTGAGATTTTCATCACCAAGGGATGTCCCCCTTTATGATTTCTGCTGCTTTGATTTTCAGTAAGACATTCCCTGAAGAATTCATCAGAATGTAAATTTCCATATCTCTTTCTCCTCCCAATCAGTGACATCCATTGAAAGGCCACCACTTCATCTTTCCATTTTACATTGTTAGCAGCTGTAGGGAGCATGAGGGCTCTGAAAATCGCCCAAAAAGAAGGAGGAAAGACTGGCATTGTTATCAAATGGTGTCTAATAATTATAGATTGGGAGACTGTGGTGGATACACTTGACTTCTAGCTGTACTTTAGTTCAGGCTGACTAAGGAGGAACAGGTCTCACGTCCTTGGGGTGAACTTGTGAGCTGGAAAGCCGCTGACTCACATACAAGGGAGTGAAGGTGCCCTGAAAAATATTTCGATAGGTGGTTTCAAAACCCAAAAGCGCAAGATAACCGAAGTACAGAACAAGATATCGGAGCTAAAATGAAGACCTCTATCTTGTGTCTACTATTGACTAGCAGCCAACTATTTCACCCTATAAATATTACCATCAGAATGAGCCCAATTTGAGCTCTCCCAGAACTGCAGCTGGACTGCATGCCAGGTGACTCTCCCTTGAGCAGGGGTGCTCTCAAAAGTAGAGATTCCTTACCTGAGACTGAGAGATCTTTCCTTAACCAAGGCAGGTAGATCCCTTACCCATGACAGATGCTCGGTGAGTGACTGAGCATGCTGAATTAATACTATGAAACATGACTAATTCATGTAGCTACTCAATATTATTGTAAATATTGTATGGATAATTTCATTAGGCATAAACTGTTGACCAAGTCAGAGACTAAGATTGGATCCAGCCGCACCTCGGCTCCAAAAGGAGTTTAGAAAGCAAGGGGGTCCACTCTGAACCTCATGACTCAACAGGAGGGTCCTCCTTCCTCTTTGCGTCTCTAATCTCTATGTGAATCATTCTAACTTGATTCTAACTCAGCTTTCCTTTGTATGTTTCTTCTGTGCGGTAATTAATAAAATAAACCTTGCCATCAAACTTACTGAACTTTGTCAAACTACTGTTAAAAGTGTGTTAAATGCCATCAAACTTATTGAACTCTATCAAATTATTATTTTACCTCAATAAAACATATTGCTGCTTTTCTCTTTTGAGTGAGATGAATTCCACTCATCTGTGACAGAGACTTATGCAGCCAAATAAGGACTATACAGTAGGACAGTTTGTTTGTGGGGTCTTTTTGTATTGTTTTTATAAAACTCTAATCAATGCACTATTTCTGTATTGGACCACATTTTGGCACCTTTGGGAATAATAACTTACTATGAACTGATTTTGTTGAGACTTCCTGCAGGTCGTGCAAATGTTTTTCTTCGTGTAAGTGGTCATTTGGATTTCAGTAGGTAGACCAATATGCAAATCACTGCAAAATTTTGTGTCAGGACCTAAAAACATGGTTCCTTCCAATATCTATTGTATCATAAGAATGATAATACCTGATTTTACATGTTTAGTGTGTGTGCATTTGTACCAAGCATACACAGAGCATATGTTTTGTCAAAACCTGAACACCTAAAAAGCAAAAAAATTATCCTGGTGATTTTTCTTAGCAATTTTTTTTTTAAAATTGATTTTCATCTGCTTGGCAGAGAAGTTTTTCAGATTTGTGTGATTGAGCAAAACATAATGTATTACTATCCTAAAAAAGCATTGTAATTACAAATTGCAAAAGATAAAAATTAAGAGGAAATTGCATGCAAAAATAGTTAACATCTGTCTTAAATTTTCAAAACAAAGAGAACCAAGACTGAAAGCTAGGTCTTGTCTACATTTTACACTGTGGAGAAAAACAAAAAAGGGACAAAGCAATGGACTGATATTTCCATTGTAATTTCTGCATTGCTAAGAACCAGCCACAGGACAGTTTTCTAGGAACTAATGAAAGGTGGATCTAACTCTTAGTGGATATATAGTGACTTGTATTCATAAGCAAGTGCAAAACTGAATTCAGGGTTTTGCTTATGTTTATTCTAAAATGAAATGAAGAAGCCACAATGTCCTGGTTTGAGGTAAAACAGAACCCATTTTCTGTTCAGTAATTTAATTTTGCAGCTAAGCCTCTTCAAACTACTGAAATTAACAGCATATTGTGCAGAAACTGCATGCACTGAGTGATAAGACCTAAGTTTATAGTTGATGCCAAGGAATGGTATGCGGAGAGGCTCCTGCTTATACTCATTGCTCTAACACCCAAGGGCAGCTCACTTTGTTATTTACCCCGTTGGAGGGTTGGAAGCGGAAAAGCATAGTGGGGTCCCACCTGCGGGAGGAGCAGTCAGGACAGGTGACCCAAAACTGACCAACAGGGTATTCCATCCCATCTGCCTCACGCTTAGTATAAAAGTGGAGGAATCAAAGGGTCAGGCTCTTTCTTCAATGGCCGGTGTCTGAGGAGGACTCTGTTCGTCTGCCTTTGATCCTGATCCGTGCATTCTGTTCTGTTCCTGTCTGTTACTGAGTCCAGTCTGGGACTTTCCCCGTGCCTGACGGTGACGTGATGATCATCCTGGAAGCTTCATACTGTTTTGTATATATTATATAATTCATTATTTCCTTTTAATTATGTTGTTATTAATATTTCATTAAGGTAGTTCCTTCGAAACTCATGTCTGTCTCTCCCTCTCCCTCCTCTCCTTGGAGAGAGAGGTGGGGGAGAGCATCTGTCGTTTCACCTCTGTGGCCAAACCATGACACCTGGTACACACAACAAGCTGCACTCATCTTGTCTCTTCGGGTTGCTCTCAGTGGGAGCAGAGTGAGATAAAACACTGCCCAGAAAAGTCAACTGTTGTGGCCTGTGATGGGCTTAAGGCCTACATCCTCAGCTGGGCTAGCTCTAATGAGCATCAGCTCAAGGGATGGCTCGTACGTTTCTGAAAGATCTGGGGGTGCGAGGTGAGATGAAGACTACAGTGAGAAAGGGAAGGTTGGGAATATCAGGTCTCAGGAAATAGAAAACGTCTCTTTTCCTTTCTTTTATTCCCAGACCTGGTGTCCTTGCTTGTTTATCATTCCTTCCTCTTTTGCTTCATCAGTAATCCAGAGAAAGGACTGTTGGGGTAGGGAATACTACCACTGCTGTTTTGAGGTTTTAAAGACTGAAAAACTGGCAGCTGTTTTAAGATCGCTCTAAAGTTGGGGATATTAAACTTGGTCAAAGGAAGGAGCCCGGATTTTCTCACAGAGCTTATTGCTATTGCGTATCACAAGATGTGTGGAGTATCTGCCTCCACCTGCCATCTCTTTGCTCTGGCTGTTGGAGCATCCTTCTTTCTATCCTGCTGTCAGATGAAATGTTAGGTGTTCATTATAGTTTTGGACAAGTGCATGTTTCTGCATTGATTCTTTGTAGTACATGTATGTGTACACATACATGAAAAGAGATATTTTTCTGTGGGTGTGTAAAATACATTTGTACGTGGTTATTAAAAGATAAAAATGAGCTTTTGAAGCTCCACTGTCTCATGTGGGGAGACAACATCTTTGAAAATCTGATGACATCCAGCATTATACTGGGACAGCCGGGCAGCAAGGGCTACGTCGCCCTTTAATGCAAGTGAGTTGCGGGTCTTGCCTTTGAACTCTGGTGCAACCTGCGAAAGCTTGATTTTGCAGAAGTGATCAGAGAAGAGCCTGCAGTGTTATGACAACAGACATTTGAAAAAGCAATGTCAAGAGTTTTCCTGAGAGAAGCTGCAATTCTACTACTGAATTGTTGATACCTTTTAATGTTTTGAATTAGTAAAAAGTTTCAGAGATGAGTATTTTAGAGAAAACAGTAGGAGCATTTTTGTTACTTTTCAAAGGAATTGCCTCAGAAGAGTTCAGCTTGATAAAGAGAGCCCAATGGGCAGCATTTCCATTGGAGAGCCTTTGCTCAATGTTAAATGATTTATCTTTTTCAGGTAAAGCCCCTCCACACTATTCAAGCTTAGCACAAAAAAGATTTCAGCTTCTAATCCATGGAGGTTAGTCTAACTATGAGGCATGAGAAGGTGAATGAATTATGAAACCTCAAGTTTCATACAAATTTTCACAAAACCCTTGTAAATTGGGCCTATGAGTTTGAGTGCATTAGTTCTTTTCTTTGTAAAACTGTAATGCAATAGCTAGCTAGCAAATTAGTCTTCCAATAGGATTCTATTACAGATCTTTTTTGAAAGTGATAGAAGCAAATGTAGGAAGGTGTGCGTTTCCTAAATTAACAAGAGCCTAGAATGAGGGGGAAGGCTACTAGCCATGAGCCATGAACCAGATGTATAATTTATGCCTTGGAATACTTAGAAAATGCTGCATTTCCTTGATAGTAGCAAAATTGTGATTCAACATCTGTTAAAAAAATAAAATGTACAGAGGTTTCCTTTAAGAAATCAACCAGTTATCCAGAATGTGAAGGTAGAAATTGTCCCTAGTCTGGAAGTAACAAAGAGCAACCAGAAATTATGACTGGATTTTGGGTTTGTCTTGCTGGTATCCAGGCTTGTCAAGAACACTCTGCTTCTCATGAGAGCCCTGAATTTGTTGAGGAAATAAAATAAAAACATTAATGCTATGCTTTGTCTTAAATGCGGGTAGTACACTGCACTACACACCTGAGCTCATTCAAGTTGTGGTGCACAAGTCTGGTCTTAGTTGTGTATGCTCTAGCTTTATTTAAGTGTAAACCAAATTACCACTCACATTCTGTGTGTGTTTTGCTTTGCAATCTGGTCCAAAGGCCATTGAAGAGAGTAATAATCCTTCCGTTGACTTCCATAACTATTGGATTTGAGCTTTAGTGCGCTTAAAATATGGTAAGGATGTTTCAGTTAATTTAATCTCCATGCTTTTCAGGAAATAATATTTTTTATTAATGCTCCCAGTAAATGACTACAAATAATAATACCTAACATTTTTACAGTCTCTTTTATCCCCAGGATGTGAATATTCTGCATAAAACAAAGTTAATATCAAGCAAAATTATATTTATCATTATGTGACATGTAAAATAATGTAAGTTGAGAGAATCAGATATCTCCAACACAGAAATGATTGAAAAGCTCTACATTCAAATTAAAATATTGATTCCCTCTGTGAGGATCTAGACAAGAGCCATTTAATGTGCTGTGATGTTGAAGTGTTACAGTGATGATATGTTGTCAGTACTTTTTTTTTTTTAAAAAAAAAAAAACCACCAACTTTTGCTTTGTGGCAAGTAAGCTAAATGCACCCTGGAAGTGTAGCTGAACCAGAGGAGAAGGTTGGCGGTCAGGCTTTTTTTGATACTCGGTTGTTTCCCACATGCTATCCCATAAGGAGTTAAAGTGTTTGGGGAAGGAGGAAACAGAACAAGTATGTAAGTGTTTAGACTT